GAAAATGAATGAATCAATGATGATAACGGGCATTTAAACCGATAAGATAACCGGAGTGTTACACCTGTATTTCCTTATCTGTTTCAATACCCACTACTGTATCTCTCGGATTGCAATTAATCGTATTTTAATTTTCAAATTTTTACTGAACCTTATCTTTCATTGATATTTTTTATTGGTCTTTTAATTGTTAATGCATTTTTCTGACGTAATTTGCCTTTTTACATTGGGATTAACAGTACTCATAAATAATTTTATTTTCATTTTTTATGAGTGATTTAATAGTGAGGTCAAACAAAAATGTAATATAATATTTGTTGTGAAATTAAAAATCTTTTAATTGATAATACATACGCTAGTAATAATATTATAACTGAAAAATGCACTAATTCCGAATGCAGGATGCGGTAGGAATATATAATTACTACATTAGGATTAGTTGTAACAATAAACAGATTAATCCATTTGGAGAAAAGTCAGTAACTCTTTGGTGGTTGGAGACCGCGAGGAGTTTGTCGATGTTGTAGAAATAAAATAAAATATATTAAGAAAGAGTTTTAAAATTGTATAATTTATTAACATACGTCCAATATGTGAAAATTAAGGTATATAAATCCGTTACAACGACAATACACAACCAAAGATGAACTTAGCGACACGATTCAAATCAGCCGGATGAATTTTAACTACCAATAAACCTCTCAAACACCAATAAAATATTAAGCAACCAATTAAACGTTCGCTTAGGAGTTTAAAAAACGCGTAAAACGCAAAATCGGTTGCTTAGTTAATAACAGTAAATCACCCCATTAGCATAATAATAAAAGACCAATTACATTTTCCGACTTGAAAACATTAAAGTAATCCTGAAGGGATGATTTTAAGGGAACGGGTAGTAAAACTGTCAGCTGCAGATCCACCGTTCCGTTACTTTTATGGGAATAAATCAGTAAGAGTTAAAATATTTCTCGATATCCATTTTTTCATATTCGGTCGTAAAATAAGGTGCGCTGTTAGTGTGCTTGATATAAAACAACCCTCTTGCCTAAGGAAACCCCCCCCCCTTTCAACCCCCCTCAACAACCCCCCCCCCCCCCGAGAGCTTATAAAACCAAACAAATTACCTCCTCAGGAGCGTATCCGAATAAAACCTATAAACCTCTTTATTTCTCTTTTTTATTAACAATCCCCGCGCCGGAGCCCCTAGTTTGCATAGGCATGCGACAAGTGGCATAATCCCTGAATTTGCATCCTTTGTTAGCTCGCAGGAATTGAAAGGGAATTCGGAAAAGAATTTCTACGCTACTGGAAATAGGTTTGCTTGTATGCAATGCGTTTGATTAGCAAAGAAATTGTTTGTTTAGGAAAGAATTCTGATATAAATTTGTGTAACAGTGTTTACTACAGATATCGAAATTTTAAGGTTAGTTTTGTTTGTATTTAAACTTGTCAACAGTGGGATGTAATAAACTACTGTACGTAAAACTATGGTTCAGCTAACGTGTGTTCAAAAAGCACTATAGAGGTGAAATTTATTTAGGAAACGTCTAAAATCGAAATGCCTAAGCTTTGTCAGCGAAATGTCAGCTTTGTTAGCGAAATTCCCATGTAGGGAAGGTATCAACATTTCAATAAAAACACACCTCAATACCTTTCCCGTAGCAGCATACCTAGGTATCCATTAAAATTAATGTTATTTAAATAAGAAATAAATCTGACAGTTTTCAGGGTATATTTTGGTATAAATAAAAATGAATAATAAAAATAAATATAAATGGAAATTTGCTTAGTCTGCAGGTTTGCTGCGGCGGGGGTATTGTTTGACTATAAAGTAAAACATAATTGGTTCTATGATTAAACTTCATGTATGTAAACCATTAATCGAACAAACACATAAAGTTTATTTTCGTATAATTTAAAGTTTCTATCTACAGTTATAAAAAATTATTTTATTACAAGACAAATCTAGCTTTAAACTAAACAGCTTTCAATATTGCTTGCAGCATTATTTATCGAAGATAATGTGCTATCCTGGAAGTCTTGCATTTTCTGTAACACATATATGTAATGGCAGGGGGATTCCTTTGGGTAAAAGATGTTTTATACTTTGTTGTGTTGATTTCGAATACAATAAATAATTTATTGAAGTTTGAAACCAATTAATTTCTTTAGTTTTGATGTTAGGTTAATTATGAATATGAACTGATCAACAATAATCAAATCGTAACTATTTTTTATAATGAGTTTAAAACAGTTCCATCAAATCTTTGAATGTTTCTTTCAGTTTTTACACCAGTGACCTAAACTAATTCAAGGTTAGGTTAGGCTCATGGTTACTAGCTATGAAGCTATGAGTGAAGTAATAAAATTCAATTCGTAGTCAATAACATATATTTGGAATTTTTTTAATGCACACGTGATCCTCATAAAATACATCACTTTGGGCAAATAAGAAGATAGTTAAAGTGGTTTTAATTATAATGTTAAACTCCATAATGTTTAAACTTATTATATTAAATTACTCGTTAGCTAAAAAGATTGTAGTAATAACAAATTCGTGGTAGCCAAATTTGTCTTTTCACCGTGTTTAAAAAAAAATCACTGTAGCCGAGATTATCTCATCGTAAAAATTATAAAAGCAATATTCATACTAATTAACTAAATATGGCTTAATTACCTTCGACTTTAATCCACAGGTTGACCAAGAAATGTTAGAACTTGTTACTGATAACATAACCTACTTGTTTACTCCCAGTCATAAAACCCACCCTGATAGAGGCTAGCTGTTAAACCACCCCAACAGAGGCTAGAAGTGGTTAAACCTCCAATAAAACGGTCAAGACTATTGTACATAATGGTCACTTCCAGACCAAGTTAAGTATCTGTGTTAACTGAGTCATGAATATTTTAAATAGCAATGTACATACTGTTGAGATACGTAGAGCTGTTTTATTGTAGTAGTAGATGTTTAACTAGCAATATACTCGTAAGCAAAGAAACGTATATTTTAGAGACGTGTTAAATAGTTAAAACCATTCATATAACAACAGAAATTAAAATAGTTCCAATAATAATCACAGTAATTTGTTAAAACATTTTACTGTAATATTTCAAAAATCAGTGTTGGTACCTATGTCTTTGGTAGCGGCTGTATTGGGACGGTGGTGTCGTCCTGTAATCCAGCTACTATCTTTTTTTACAAGAGGTCACGAATTGTGGATATTTCACTGTGGATGCGATAATCTTTGGTGTGGATTAACGTCCGTACTCGTGGGTACTACGACTATTCGCAGTACTATCCTGATTATTTGACCAATTCGTTAATAACAAGGCAAAAATTTTGTTCGGATTCCACTATAAACTGTAGTTCCTTAGTTGCCATTAGCTGTATGGGTTATTAATTAACAGCTGTTTCTAAGGAATATGTCGGCCTTGGTCACTAACAAGACTACAAGATCGCACTCATCCTACACTCATCTCGATTCATACTTGGATTAAAATACCTACTTTGTATGGTCACCATTTAAAAAAAAGGTATTTAAGTATTCAGGTTGAACAGTATTTTGTTTAATATCTATATACTTGAAAAACTACAAATTTATCTAATATGAAGTATATAAAAAGTGATATTTACCAGAATTGTATTGATTAAACTGTATTCTATATTTTTATAACATAGGCCTTGTATAAGATTACGTTGAGATAAGCAATATTTTATTTTATTAACGTCTTTCTAGTTTTTAAAAGTTTGGTTATTTTGTAAAAAAGTATTCTTCCTAAAACAGAATTGTACTTTTTGGTATTCAATAAGCTTGTATTGTTAGCTTGTAATGTCAATGTTAGGATTTTGTCACAATAATCATAAGTTGGTTAATTTAAATAGGAGATCCGTGTTTTTGTTGTTAGTATTGATTATATCTTAAGGTGCAATTATCTATATCTTTGGTCCAAAGTTAGTTTAAAAAACATTTTTTCAGTGTGTATCTTTTCACAGTTTCTTTCACCCTTGGCGAATTCATTTTTAAGCTGATGAAATCATCTTCTTAGATGGCCTCCTTCATCAATGACCTCATTATTAAACAAATAAACCATCGTTTCCCATCTGTGATTCATATATACATTTTCATCGCCCAAACACCGGCGTCCTGTGACACCTAAAAGTCAAAATCGAACGAACAAACAACTTCAGGATCACACTCCTAAACTCTGTCACAATACAAAAAGCCCAAAAAATGTGGCATCCACTTTGTAGAAGCTATTAGTTAAAAACCGGTGGACCCCGATAAAATACAATGTAAAGGACATAAATATCAGCTGATCAGACGGTCAGGTGTCCGTGGACATTCTTGCATGCTGTAGACACGATCAGCTCATAACGTGTTTGTTCACGCCGTCAAACATTCTTCTTCTTCTCTACTTGGCTGACGACTATTTCGGATTCTAATTCTGAATTCCAGAAGCTTTAAGGCGGCGAGTTTTCTTATGGAAATACCAACATCGTGTTAAAAAAGGAAGGTGTTAGAATTTGAACACCTGTTGTAGTTTTTTTTCGGGAATTGTGAAAAACTAGAAAATTGGGGAGTGTGTATTCATATAGTTAATCGTTAGTTTGCAAAATATTTTGATGTAGTAAAGAGTAACAAGGATAATATTGTTACAACTACACGTATCGTAATTACGTCCACTAACCTGTTATGCATTTACTAGACTGCTTGTCTCCGACGTCGGGCTGTGACGTCAGCTGTTGTCGTCATCGGTGGTCAGTGTAGCCAATTCATAAACTGAAATTCCTCTTGCTACTTTACTTTAATAATATACTACACTCGCCCCAACTTAAAATCAAGCTCTTCCTTTAATAGGCCTAAATAATAATCCTAGGCCTAATACCAAAAATCCTTAACCAATTTCAAAGTCCATAGTTCGTTGCATTTAACTTAAAACTTTTCTTCAAATAACTCAAAATAAAAATTACTTCTTCAGTTACACAGTCGACTGTTTACTTAAAGATCAAGCCTCCTCGGCTTACGAACGGCCCGTTGAGACCGTCTAAGAAGTTGCGGGCTTGACTGCACTTCATGTCTTTCTTCAAGTCTTGGTAGAGGGCTAGATGCTTCTGGCAGGCTTCGCCTCTGATGTGAGGGCGTTATCGCCTCTGGCTGAGGGCTAGGTATCTTCACTGGTGAAATAGGCCTAACCGGAGGTGATGCCTTGGCTGGTGATGGCTGTGGAATTCGCCTATCCACCAAAGTCTCCTCTTCGTCTCCCAGAAGACTGGAACGCAGATGGTCCGCATGACAGAACCGGACCTTGCCTAACACACTTACAACATAAGTCGCAGGGCTTCTTTGCTCCATCACTTTTCCCGGAACCCAGGACACATGCTCCCCTCTGACCGTCTTCACCCACACCTTATCTCCTTTGCCAAAATATCTAGCACCACCTCGGATGCTGTTTGCAGCTGAACGTTGCTGTTCCTTCTTTTTATCAATCACTGACAACAAATTAGGCTTAAGTAGGGTTAATTTTGTTCTGGGTTTCCATTGGAGAAACAACTCGGCTGGTGAGAGTCCAGTTACTGTGCTGGGTGTGTTCCGGTACACAAACAGGAAGTTGTCTAATTTATGCTGTAAGGTAACACCTACCAATTGACTTTCTATCACTTGCCTCTGCAGATTTTTCTTTACCTCTTGCACACATCTTTCGGCTGCGCCATTGGACGCAGGGTGATAGGGGGGTGACAAGGTGAATTTTATACCATTCCTACTCAGAAACTCCCTGAACTCGGCACTCGTAAAATTAGGTGCATTGTCACTTACCAGTTCTTCCGGCAACCCATAAGCAGCAAACAAGGTTCGTAATCTTTCAATGGTCTTGAATGATGTAGTTGATTTCATAAGAAATACTTCAAGCCATTTTGAAAAACTGTCAACTATAACTAACAGTTGTTGTCTAGTTTGCGGATCTTCCGCATAGTCAATATGAATTCTCTGCCATCTGTTGGTAGTTCTAGGCCATTGATACAATGGCACCTTAACGGCAGCATTTCTAGTGCACTGACAAACAGTGCAGGTAGACACTGTTTCCTCTATGTTTTTCTCAAGACCAGGCCACCAGACGTAGCTCCTGGCTAACATTTTCATACGCGATATTCCTGGATGCTGGTCATGTAGTAATCGGATTACAGCACTCCGAAGCTTTTCGGGCACGACTACTCGTGCTCCCCAAACGACACAATTGTTGTCAACCGACAGTTCATCCTTCCTTCTGAAATATGCAATTAACTCAGGTTCATCGGCCGAACGCCAACCGTGCCAAATAAAGTCCCTTACTTTTGATAACACAGGATCCCTATCAGTCAATCTAGCAATATCTTTAGCCGTAATAGGTGTGTCGTCACTCACCAATTTGTAGCAGCTAAATACTTCCACCACATTTTCCACGTGAGAGAGGTGATTGGCCTCCAATTCCATGGTCTCATCATTGGGCAGCGGCAATCTTGAAAGGGCATCAGCATGAGGGAGATCCACCCCACGCCTGTACTTCACCTCGAAGTTATAGGCTGACAAAATCAACGCCCAGCGTTGAAGACGAGCCGCAGCTACACACGGCACTGAGATGAGAAAGTACTGCTCCAACACCCCGTGGGCTCGCATCACATGTCAAAATCAAAGGTTTATGCACGTCATAGTGAACCAATACATCAGTAGACAACACCCATTGTTTACCCTGCTGAAAACCCTCTGAACACCTTTTAGACCATACCCAAGGTTCGTCCTTTCTAAGTAGGTCATAGAAACAGCTTATTTTATCTGACAGGTTACAAATGAATTTACCATAATAGTTGATTAGGCCTACATAGGCCTTGAGCTCTTCCTTACACGTTGGTTCTGGAGCGTCACGGATCGCTTCCAAAATACCTTCCTGGGGACTAATTCCCTCTGAAGTCAAACAGTATCCCAGATATTGAACAGAAGGCTGTAAAAATTTACATTTGCTTTGGTTTACCTTAACTCCATAGCCTTGAAGTCGCTGCAGAACATGTTCCAATCTTGTTAGAGCCTCCTCTCGGGATGATCCACCAACCAACACATCATCCAGGTACGCCACTGTACCTGGGAGTCCTCCAATTATCTTGTCCATCGCCGCCTGGAAGAGGGCCGGGGCTGACGACAAGCCATATGGTAAGCGACGTAGCCGCACGAGACCTTTATGTGTCGCCAATGTCAGAAGTTCCTGAGACTCCTCTGCAACAGCAAGCTGGAGGTACGCCGCCTCCAAATCCAACACAGAAAAACATTTACAGCCTGCTAACGAGGCAAATATATCTTCGGGCTGCGGCAACGGATAATGTTCTGACTGTATAACCTGGTTCAGAGTAACTTTAAAGTCCCCGCACAAGCGGACACCTTGTTTCTTTTGTATAACTACTATTGGGGTAGCCCACTGTGAGCTTGTAACAGGGTAGGCAATACCTTCGGATATCATCCGATCAATCTCTTGTTCAACAGAAGTACGCAAGGCGTACGGAACAGGTCTATATTTACAAAACTTAGGGATAGAGTTTTCTTTTAAGACTATCCTAGCCTCAACATCTTTGATCTCCCCCGGACCACCTCTAAATACAGAGACATATTTTTGTTTTAATGCCTTAACCTCATTAGGTTCTATAGAAACCTTTCCGGTTAGGTTAGGTAAAACCCCATCTTTGGCTGCCTCATTAGGCTTGGGTTCATGACTACCAGTAGCGGTTGCGCTAGCAAAATTACATGAGAAAATTGATTTCCAATCTAAATCAATGTGCTTAATCCAGTTTCTTCCTAAGAGCATTGGTTGGTTAGTACGATTTATTTGAACCACAATCATAGGCAAACAATAAGAATGGTCCTTGTAGTCAACATTGACTTGAGCTTGCCCAGTTACTATGACTTCGTTGCCAGAATAGGTTAACAACTTAATATCTACAGATCTCAATGGAACGTGAGAAAAATATTTCTCAAATATTTCCTGAGGACACACTGACAGTGCCGAACCAGTGTCAATTTCCATAACTACAGGCACATTCTCTATAGCTAGCCTTACCTTGTAATCAGAGTTACTTGAGCATGAACCAATATTATATAGAGACAAATTTTCCACTTCCTCATTTATGTCTAGGCTAGGCTTCCCTTTATCTTCCAGTTGATGCACCTTATACCTTCCTTTTAGCTGGCTTTTTGCGGCAGTTTCGCCTTTAGATTTGCACGCCTTGCTAAGATGGCCTACTCTTCTACACAAATTACACCTATAATTACTATAAGGACACATATGAGCCTTATGATCCCAACTTGTGCAACGATAACACTTTATCTTGTTATCATTATTTTTCTCTTCAAAAGATTTTAACTTGTACCCAGCAGGATTCCCATTTTTCACAGGACCACGTGCACACTTTTTCACACTAAATTTGGAAATATCTTGCACAGGATGATTCCCGAATAAGCCTGTTTGCCTTTCAGCCTGTTCTAGCATGAGCGCTTGAGCAAAAGTTTTGCTCAAATCTAATTCTTCGGAAAGCAACTTTTGCCTTATTCCATCATTACTAATGCCTGATATTAGTTTGTCCCTCAAAGCATCATTTAAGAATGTACCGAAATTACAAGTACTGGCTAAATGTTTGATAGCGACCATAAATTCCGCTATTGACTCTGCCGGTTTTTGACAACGACTATAAAACGTATATCGTTCCGCAACAACGAGCCTTTTAGGAGCAAAATGTTCTTCCAATGTTTTACTTAGGCTTTCGTATGTTTCATCGTCAATCTTCTTAGGGGATATTAAGTCCATTAACACAGCCAAAATCTTAGGCCCAATCACTGTTATCAAGATGGAGACATGATTCGTCGACTTGACATCGTTGGCCTTGAAGTAATGCTTGAGTCGTAATAAATACGAACTGATGTCCTCTTCGTGGGGATTAAATTCCGAGACTCTACCGATACTCGACATTTCGCACTTTTGCGGTTTTAAAGAACGCACTTTACAAAACTTTCACTAGTTTTACTGCGACAAAACCAATATTTAATCCGGCGACTGCGCCATTATTACAACTACACGTATCGTAATTACGTCCACTAACCTGTTATGCATTTACTAGACTGCTTGTCTCCGACGTCGGGCTGTGACGTCAGCTGTTGTCGTCATCGGTGGTCAGTGTAGCCAATTCATAAACTTAAATTCCTCTTGCTACTTTACTTTAATAACATACTACAAATATAAAGAAAAAAATACGACAAAATGAGACTTTGTTTATGAGGCCCTTCCTTGAGCATACACTTAAATTTACCAGAAAATAATTGTCCAAGTCAATATTTGGTTTTTTTACTAAATTAGTATTTGAGCTTTTTTTATGTTAAAAAGCTACATCTATAATTGAATTACTACACAATTGGGTTTTACTTATCCACGCAACGATTAAGTTGTAAACTTAACGTTGTTCTTTTCTTTTCCACAAAATCTGTTTTGTAAACATACATTGAGTTCTATAAGAAAAGAACTCATAAGTAAGATATGATTGGAAGCTGTTGGGCAGAATCGACTGTAAAATCGAGTACTAAAATTCACAAGCGGAGATGGACAAATAAAATAAACACGCGCAACGAAAACCACATATGTTGGCTCGTAAACTCAAAAATATGCTTCACGTAGTCCCGTTTGGGGTTTATTTCTTTTTTATCCAACACTTTCGGTTCACCCTGTTTTGCGTGTACGAAATACACAGCTGTAAATTTGAGTGCATTGTAGTTTAGTATAAACTGACCTGAGAAGTTGAACTTTTATCTGAGCTTTTAAGAGTTCTTGTACTCGAATTTGTTTGTATTTTGTCACTGTTTCATGCTGTGATTGCAACAAATCCCATACTTCAATATGGGGAAGTGTTTAGGGACTGAAACTTTGTAAATCTGGAACTCAAAGCATTAATGCAACATTTCACAAGAGTTTTATATTTTAACTCATATCAAAACCACCAACACTTGGGAGTAAAAATTGGCGTTAATGTTTATGCTTAAGAAACTCAATTTAGTTTATCTGTAATAAATAAATAATTTTAAAAAAAGCTGTACACTCTGTTAAAATTAAAAACTAAAGTTTAATTTTGTTAAATAATGTCAGTGAGTGAGCGTTAAATTAATTATTTTTGAACCCTGTTTTAAACAGTATTGTCTGTACTAGCATATGTAAAGTGAAAGTTAACTTCAATATAAAAAACATTTTTTACAAAGGTTCGATAATTTTTAAAAACTTATCGAAAGATATTACGTTCTTATTAAAAACCATACTTTCTGTTTAGTGAAACACAATTTTAAACTATTGGCAATAACATATACATTTACTATATAGTTACCTTAAAGTTCTGTTCTACAAATATTTAACAATATTATAGCAGTGCAACCCTGTAAATTATCAAACAAGTAAACTACACTTGCAGGAAGTGCAATGGAAATATAATACACTTTACCGTCGGAAAGATTCCATAAAAGTCTTACTCCAGGTGGAATTGACAGAAGAGTTAAGTTGAGTTTAACTCGGGGTTAATGTCTTCTGGAATCCCTCCAGCAATAAAAGGTAATCATAACCCTATAATAATTTATTTATTTAATTTTATGTGTTTTAGAAAGTCAGACATATTAAATACTCGCAGAATGATTTGTAGTGTGGATAAACAATTAATTGTCTTTTATCTGTATAAATTGACCTGTTGTTAGATAGCATCGTTGGCAGCCCAATGATGATTCTTCAACGAGCTCAGTAGTAATTTGAAATTACTTTTTCCTACACTTACTTGAAAATAGTGGACTAAGTACTTGCACTGATAATAGCACGCAAAGTAGCTAATTACTGCATTTACTTACTTTTGTGCACCACAGTATTCCAACCAAACAACACAAAACAGTGTGCTTTTATTAGGTACGTAATACGTGTACGCTTGAGATACGACGACTCTGATCAGCTGGTGTAGCGTTTCCCATTTCGTCCAACACTTGGGTGTTGAAGCCCTAAAAACGTGTTGTGCAGAGTTTGAATCGCTAATTATTTATATGTTCTATAGTAACTATAGGAAAATATAATGTGTAACACGAGGGCAAAGTGCCTTTGCTACACCCGAGATACTTTCAACACTCACCTGCGGCTCGTCCGTAAGCATTTCTCTTATGTGCAGCAAAGGGCCATTTAAATTAAATTAACTTTTATTGAGGCGAACACGTCACACACTAGTTACACAAATAACCATTTTAAGCTAAGTATAATTAAATTAACAAAATGTTTGACTTTCATTACACCTTTTAGAAATCTCTAATTCTATTTTGAAGATTTTAATACACATCCTTTACTAACTCAACTAAGATAATATATTAAAACCTATAATCTTTAACCTGTTGTCGCCTACACAAGTTAAGTTTATATTCAGGTCGCATCCACATAACGGCCCATCATCTGTTGACCAGGTCCCATAACCGCGGTCCCAGATTTATGTGGGGCAGTTTGCTCTTGTTACTAACCACATAAACACCACTTGTTTATGTGACGTCATCAATACGGAACCATCCTCTTGTGGAAGTCAATGACCAGTAAAACACTTGCCATGATAGGGTAATTAAACAGCGTTATGGTTAGGGAGGAAGACAATTTTAATATGAAGAGAATTATAATATGAGGCTTTCCTGAAACCCCTGAATGTTTCTTTGATTTAAAAAAGTTGAAATGAAGTGGTAACATTTGGGTGTTACTATCTCTCTAAAAAAAATTGTAAAACAGCAACCGTCTAATTTTCCCCATTAATTTTAAGAACTGACATTAATTTAGTTTAAAAATAACAGTTTCTACCTAATATGAAAATAAATTATTTAAATAGTTTAACAATTTTGGTATACAATTGAATTAATTTACTGCAAGTACACCTTTCAATATTCTTCAGTTGACACAAGGATTATAAAAGTTACACATAAAAATATTTCTTGAGATAGTTATATTGATTAATTTTACCCACTGTCTACAAACTGTCTTCAAGTTCACACTTATCGACTGGCTGTAACGTGCTTTCTATTTTTCTATTCAGCTAAATATTTTTTTTTAATTTTATGGAAGGAATAAAATCAAGTTCCCAATCTGTGTTTTTTTTTTTTTAAATACATCGCCCGTGGGAATTGTGCTGATAACAATTTTGACACTTGACATTGCAGCGGCTCCAGATATTTGTAGGATTGTCCTGTTGTAATATTATCAAACGTTCTTGACTTGACACATCAGGGGTTAGGAATGTATTGATCCTTCATATGACTAACCCACCAAGAATTTATGACCCCAATAGCTAAATGTATGCATTCGACATTGAAATATTTTAAATTACATTTTGTAAGCGTATGAACAAGAGTTATTTTATGAAAGAAAATATAACTAATCTGATCATATCTTTGATTGTGAAATTAAAGAGGGTTTTTAGGTTTAAGGAGTACTATAATGGTATGAAGAAGTGTTGAATTAAAAACGTAAAATATATGGTTAAAGATTTAGTATTGTGTGTAAGAATAAAACTGTTCCTAAATTTACTACTAAAGTATTTTTGTACTTTAATCCCTACTGTTTTTACAAATTTTCAATGCACACAATTTAGTCTTTTCCTACTAATAAATCGTCTAGGAGAAGTTAACTTATACAGTAGTTGTTTTAAAAGTAAACAATTTACACAAACTTATTGAGTAAGAGATTGCAGCTTCCAAGCAATATGTTTCGTTTTAACCATTTGGTTATTGGGGGGGGGGGGGGGGGGGTTAGATTGTCGCTTGGTGAAGCTATTTCTACAATAACTTTATTTGGTTTTGAAACAACTTCCAAAATATATTCATTGATTTAAATGTTTGCTTGCAAAACTATTTCAGTTCAATCTTAGTAGTAAAATAATAGTCAAATGGTGTACAAGTGTTAAAAAGCATCTGGAGAATAAAAAAACATGCAAAATCAAGACTTGTCTATGCACAATCTTAATTCAAGTTGAAATGGTGAAATACATGTATAGAATCATTATTGATTAAATCGCAACTTAAGTGTAAAATTCCAATATCTATTTCATTACAAGTATTAATAAAATATGGTTGAGTTGAGTATGAAGCATGGGTCTTCATAAGTAAAATATTATGTCTAACACTTTGTGGAATAATCATTCTTGATACCTTTTTTCTAACAAATGTAAAAATACATTAATTGAATACAAAATCATTCTCATCTCTTATTGAATACCAAACTTCCCTCAATTTGTAAAGCCTACAAGCGCAAAGAAGATGTACAAGGTGGATTCGGACAAAGGGCCATCCCCTACAATAAACAGCGCCCTCGCCGGGCAAATATATGGTTAAATCAAATAAACAGGGTGTGTCGTAAGCCACGGAACATCATATGTGATATTGTACATCAGGTGTTGTATCAGAGGGATCTTAGTTATAGGGTACGCAATATTTAATGGGCAGTGGTAAATGTCCGGGAGTCGATTACAAATATTCAGCCTTTATTATATTTTAATGAAGTTAACATAATCTGTAGCTATGATGTTATGATTTTCTGTTTTGTAATTTTACTACTTTTAGTTGATATATTTCTCCATATGTATTTCGTTATAGTATTATAGAGTCCTTTACAATTTGATTTTATAAGCTAATCACTCAGTTTTTTCTAAATTGTAATCACTATGGAAAAATGTTAGTTAATGCAATTAAATATGACTACTATGCAATTTCGGTATTACATAGTAAGCAGTAGTATTTGGTAATTCTGTAATTAATTTAAATTTAATAATAAATTAATTAAATTAATTGGTTTTATGGGATCGATGTAAACAAAGTTTTTGTGAACGATCACAAACACACATGTTATTCAATAAAACCCTGTATTTTCATTTCACTGGACATTACACAATCATTTATATTATAAAATTATCCTTTGTTGGTTTACTATTG